TGGATGTGCCAGGGGGCTGGAGAGGAGCAGAACATCCCCTGCGTGGCCAGAGGCCCTGGGCTTGCCCAGTCTGTTCCTCTCACCCAGGCTCTCCAGCCAGTCCCTCTCTGCTGCGCATCCCTGAGGTGTCATGACCTGCTCTGGCTGCTTCTCGGCCTCTTGTGGGCTAAGATCCAGTGTAGGGCGTAGCTGAAGTCCTGGACTAAAGAGCCTGGGATGGAGAGTGCTTGCCTGTCATATCGGGGGCATCCGAACCCCAAGGCTTGAGCCTGCACGTCAGATGTCTGCCAATGGATTTGGGAGCATCCAAAGCCCCAGGGTGAGAGGTCTGCGATGGAGGATGCTCACCGGTCAAAGTGCCAAACCATGGGATTGAGTTCTGCCTGCTCAGTGGATATGATTTGGAACTGATTTGGCCGATTTGTTCTGGAACACGAACTATATTATAAAATAAAATAAAATAATTTGCTCTGGCTGCTTCTGCTTGTCACAGCTGCTGTTGGAGGGGGCAAGGTCAAGGCTTTGTGCTCAGCCCCTGGCAGGCTAGGAGTCAGTGGCAAAATGACCCCAATTCCTACAGCAGCTTATGCCATAGCCATGGGCAGCCCCTGAGAAAGCCTTGGCTCCTGCACAGACAGGACAAACCTCAGCATGGCTGTACTGGGTCATAATAAAGGATCCCAGCACCTTGTTGCTGACGGGGGCAAACAGCAGGTACTAAAGAAGAGGAAAAGAAACCGGGCAGGAGGAGCGTGGCCTGTCCCCTGCCAGACTCTCCCCATCCCAAGCAGTCAGGGGTTTAGGGATGTCCTGAGCTTGTGCTGACAACCCTGCCTGCTACATTTCACAGCCCTGATAGGTTAGTTCCCCCTTTTTTGACCCGTTATACTTCTGGCCTCCACAATGTCTAGTGAACAGTGCAAAGGTCCGTCGTGCCAGAAAAGCAACTGCGCTGGCTGGGAATGGAGCAGCAGCTGACAGACTGGGATTTCCAAGGCCCTGGAGAGCAAGATGCAAGAAGAGGTGGCCAGCTGGAGCCTTGATTTTTCCATTTAGTGTAAGCATCGGGGTGATTCAGTTGGGAAGACATACCTGTCTTCTGCCCGGGGGTCTGTACCCTTGTGGGCTGCTTGTGGGGACCGTTTCCCTGCCTGGAGAAAGAACAGGGTTGAGTTTCTGGCACTTCATAGATTGATTCGTAAATTGTTAGGGGCTGGAAGGGACCTTGCAGACCATCGGGTCCAGCCTCCCCATGTGAGGGATTAGGGTGAAAGTTGGGTGCTTTGGAGCAGGTGGGGGATGAAGCTGGAGAGCAGGAGCAGCTGCAAGAATCAGCAGGGAAGCTTTGCCTCCCTGGCGCTCTCGGACGGCCGCTGAGCACAGCTGCGCTTGCTACCGCGTTGCACCTTCTGCGAGGCATGAAGCCATCGACCTCGCACTCGGCAGGTCGGTTTCCCATGTTCCCCGTCTCCTTCGCACGGCCTTTGCACTAGGTTTTGCACTCGGGCGGTTTCTTCTGCTGCTTGACATCTGCTGCCGTGCCTGTTTAACCCGCAGCTGCGTGGGTCGCGGGTTCCCTTCTCTGCCCGCAGGGACAGGAGATGGCTACAACCTCCAGATCCGAAGCTGCAGCTTGAAAGCCAAGTGCTGGGTTACTCCAGTGCCAGCGTCTGCCCTGGCTGGGAGCTGGGGGTGAGGCTGGGGCGAGATGCCCGGGGTGGACGTGGCGGTCCCCTCGACCTGCGGTTGGCCATCACAGCGTGGGGGGCTCTGTCCCTGCGCCCTTGCTAGTGGCACGTCCTGGTCCGGCTGCAACCTGAGCTGGGGGATCCCGGCGAGGCAGGGATGGGGGCCTCACCTGGGACCCCAGGGACAGGGGCGCCTGGCATGGCCAATGCTGCGACAGCACCCCCGGGCGTGGGACCCCACCAGAGACACCCCAAATAGGAGTACCCCACGTGGGTGTGACCCCACCAAAGACCCCCCCCAATAGGGGTTCCCCACGTGGGTGTGACTCATCAACCCCCCCAATAGTGTGCCCACATAGGTGTGACCCCACCACAGACCCCCTCTCAACAGGGGTGCCCCACGCTGGGAACCCCCCAGGGACACGCGTGGCCCCCGGAACCTCCGGGGCGGCGCCGGTTTCCGCGGGACCCACTTCCGGCCGGACCGTGCGGCGGCGATTGGGGCCCGGCGCGGCCCTGCCTCGCACCTGTCCCGCACGCGCCTGCGCAGGTGGGTTCAGCCGGGCA